TTTTTTTTTTTTTAACCTCTGCCAATGTACCATGTTCTGGGTCTGAAAGATAAGGTAAAGGAAATCATTTTTAAAGCTCTGTGTAGCTAAGAGTTAGGCTAAAGTGCCCTAAAAAGTAATTTACCTTTCTTCACTGAAGCGACGACCAATCTTGACTTTACACTTGTCCTGGGGGAGGCATGCTGCTAAAAGGGGAACTGTCCGCAACACTTTGTTTTCCTTTAATTAAAAAATTAATCAAAACATAGATTTGCACGTAGACAAACACACTTTTAAAACTTTCATGATGAACATCTGATTCATTACGGGATAGATAACTTTCACAAGACTTGTATTACAGAGCACAGCTGAATAAAAAGAGCTAGTTTCTCTGAGTTATCGGTATTAATAGAATACAAGTGCACATTTTCCTCTACTTGGGTGTGTTCGAGGTTTACTAATCAAATAAGATAACATTAAGCCAACTATTGGTTAAGGTTATGAAAAACGAAATTTGTGTTTAACTAAATTGAACAATTTATTCTACATTTCAGTAGTAATTATATTTTATAGTACGTCAACTTGAAGATAACTGCCTAAATCTTTATGTCCAGAAAAAAAGTGCTAAAAAAAAAAAAATAATAATGGGTCATATCAAAGGGACACAGAAACCAATGTTAATTTAAAGAGCTCTCAATGACCAAAATGGAACAATGTGAGTAACAAAGTAAGTAGCAAACTATTTGGATTATGACCCAAAATGCAAAATAAATAGGAGAGGAGAGACAAATCTTCCTTACAGAAGAATTCCAAGTAATAAACATAAGTACTCCATAATACAGCAGGTGGAGCTTGCTTAATCTCTCCTACCCACCTGAATGCAGACTGGATTTATGGCCTACTTCCAAATAATAAAGGGTATAGAAAGAGGAAAAATATAAAAACTTTAGAGTGGGGAAATATGGTGACCATTCCTATAAACTCCATTAACTATCATCAGTGATTTTTTTTCCAATGTCCTAGCTTCTAGCATTAAAAACCACCTTTTTGTCACAAGAATCCTATCCTTTAGGGCATGTGGGTGGTTCAGTCATTTGAGCATCTGACAATGGGTCAGGTCATGATCTCACAGTTCACGAGTTCGAGTCCCACACGGGGCTGACCGCTGTCAGGACAGAACCCACTTCGGACCCTCTGTCCCCCTCTCTCTCCAACCCTCCACTGATTGAGCGAGCTCTCTCTCTCTCTCTTTCTCAAAAATAATAAATAACATTTAAGAAAAAAGAATCCTCTCCTTTATCCTAGTATACCCAACTGATTCACTGTTTTGCCTGAGCCTCCTTCCTCTGGTTATTTTGGTCTACAGTGGTCAGTCACTGTCTGGCTCTTCTCCACCAGCCCAACTAGGAATGTCAAGCCTGATCAAGTAAGTGATGGAGTCCCTCTCTAACCAGTTCACCTACATACAGCCCCCGTTACCTTTATCAATTTATATAACACTGCTTCATATATCCTCAAAGTAAATTATTTCACCATGATAGCACAATACACACAGCATATTAATACACAAAACAGTAATGTTATACAGAATTTACTAAAGTAATTAAAAATAACTTTGTCATTACATTACATATGTTGGTAACAAAAACAAAAAGTATGGCTAGTAACAGTATTCATCAACCACTCACACACACATACACCCTTCAGGGACATTTTTGTGTCAACCTCTTTTGCCCCTAAGTGTCTGAAGTGTTGATTACAATAATACAAAAAGGTAAATCTAGAGACGCTGAGGACAGTTAAATTCATCAACCTAAAAGTTGGCAAACGAAATAGGAGAGTCAGAATTTGCTGGGACTGTAACTAAAAAGAAAATGCAGCAAGCCAGAGCTGTGAGGGAGCCTGAAATTAATGTGGAGTAGCTCCTACGAGAAAAGGGACGGGAGGAGGGGGGAGGAGAGGTTTAGGACATTTTCCAGCGTGTCCTACTGTTTTCTTCCCTCCTTACAACCTCTGAGACTACGATACATTCTTAAACCACTCTCCGAACTTCTATCAACATACAGATAAATGTCAAATTAAATAGTGCCAAAAGATCTATAATGTTCCCAGATACACTCCCCAATACCACTTCCCAGAAGCAATCACTTTAACTCTTTCAGCTATTTCCTTTGGTAGTTATCTCCATATTTCTATATAATGTGTCTTACTAATTTTTGATTTATCAAATTTAAATACTACCTACAAACTACCATTTATTGTCATAATAGCTGACTTCAATGTACATAATAATACACTGACTGATTCATGTAATGCTCACAATAAACCAATAAAGAAGTATATCTTTTATCATGTCCATTTTACTAATGATGAAACGAAAGCACAGAGAGGTTAATTAACTTGCCCAGGGTTACAATTTACAGAGCTATTAAGGCTTTAAACTCAAGCAATCTGGCTCCTGAGCCCTTCCTCTTAATTAATGCACTGTGTCACAAGAGCCCCTTAGAATAAATGAGGATCTACCTTTCTTCCATCACTCCTTACTCTCATATCATCTAATATTTTTAGTTAAATCAATCGACAGTGCTTACATCACTATGGTTACATATACACTGTTCACAAAAGGTCATGTGGTTTCACAGAACATGTCCTCCTTGTAAATATTTTTGTTATTTTTGAAGGGTTTTATTTTATCCTTAAGTAATTTTCTACATACATATATCTACTCTTTGAAATGCTCCGCCATATCACCTCCATATCATCCGCTCCACCAAATCTTTTTTTTCCACAGCCCCCTCCTAAAGCCTACCCAAGTGGTCTTGATCACTTTTAATTTTGAATACATTTTTATTTTTTAAAAAAAAGTGTGCTGACATTAAGCACAAGGCAACCCAGTATTATTGAGTTAGATTAAAACTAGAAAGCTCCTTGGATGATAAGGAAAACAATATGGATGTACTTGCATAGAACTGTACAAAACACACACAACTGTAGATGGATCACCTACACCATGAACTAACCATGAAAGAAAGAAGGGAAGGAAGCAAAAAAGGTGAGGAAGAATGAATAAACGAAGGAATAAAGGAATGAATAAAATATTTGAAAGCATTTAAATTGCCACAAATCAATGAAAACACCTACTTTTCTGAACTTTCACTTTTTATTTTAATTTTTATTATTGAAGCATAGTTGACACACAATGTTATATTAGTTTCAGGTATACAATACAGCGACTTGACAATTCTATACATTACACAATGCTCACCACAATAAATGTAGTTACCACCTGTCACTGCACATTACAGTATTAATAACTATATTCGCTATGCTGCAATTTTCATTTCCATGATTATTTACTTTATAACTGGAAATGTGTACCTCTTAATGCCCTTTACCGATTTCACCCATCCCCCTACACCCCTCTCCTCTGGCAACCACCAGTTTGTTCTCTGTATGTATGAGTCTGTTTGTGTTCTTTATTTGTTCATTTGTTTTGGTTTTTAGATTCCATGTGTAAGTGAAATCATATGGTATTTGTCCTTCTCTGTCAGACTTATTACACTTAGCATAATATACTCTCCATGTCTACCCACGTTGTCACACAAACGGCAAGACCTCATCCTTATTTTACAGGTGAATCATATTCCATTGTGTGTAAGTGTGTGTGTGTGTGCGTGTGTGTGCGTGTGTGTACACCACCTCTTCTTTATCCATTCATCTACTGATGGACACTTAGGTTGCCTCCATATCTTGGCTATTGTAAATAATGCTCCAATAAACATAGAGGTGCATATATCTACTCAAATTAGTGTTTTCATTTTCTGTGGGTAAATACTCACAGATGGAATTATTGGTCACATGGTATTTCTATTTTAATTTTTTTAATGTTTATTTATTTTTGAGAATGAGACAGAGACAGTGCACACAAGATGGGCAGGGACAAAGAGAGAGGGAGAGAGAAAATCCCAAGCAGGCTCCATGCTGTCAGCATAGAGCCCGATGTGGGGTTCAATCCCACAAACCATGAGATCATGACTTGAGCTGAGATCAAGAGTCAACCACTTAACCGACTGAGCCACCCAGATGCCCCTCTATTCTTAATTTTTTGATGAACCTCCATACTTTTCATACTGATGTACCAATTTACATTCCTACCAAAAGTGCACAAGGCATCCTTTTTCTTCATATTCTCAACATGTTATTTCTTGTCTTCTTGATACCAGTCATTCTGACAGGTGTATGGGGTAATATCTCATTGTGGTTTTGCTCTGCATTTCTCTGATAAGTGATGTTGAGCATCCTTTTGTGTGTCTGTTGGACATCTGTATTTCTTTCTTGGAGAAATGTCTATTCAGGTTCTATACCCATTTTTAATTGGATTATTTGTTTTTGGATGTTGAGTTGAATAAATTCTCTACGTATTTTGGATATTAACCCTTTATCAGATTTATCATTTTCAAACACCTTCCCATATTCATTTTGTTTATTGTTTCCTTCACTGCGCAGAAACCTTTAATTTTGGTGCATTACCAGCACCATTTTTTACACTATATTTTTTATTTTGTTTCCCTTGCTTGAGGAGACATATCCATAAAAATGCTGTTAAGGCCAACGTCCAAGACTTTACTGTCAAGGTGCTCTTTCTGGAGTTTCATGGTTTCAGGTCTCACATTTAGGACTTTAAACCATTTGGGGTTTATTTCTGTGTATGGTATAAGAAAGTGATCCAATTTCACTGTTTTGAATGTAGCTGTCCAGTTTTTCTAACACCATTTATAGAAGAAACTATCTTTTCCCCATTGCATATTCTTGCCTCATTTGTTTGTAGATTAACTGACCATGGAAGTGTGGGTTTCCTTCTGGGCTCTCTATCCTGTTCTATTGATATATGTGTCTCTTTTTGTGCTAGTACCACACTATTTTGATTTCTATAGCTTCGGAGTATATCTTAAAATGTGGGATTGTAACACCTCCACCTTTGTTCTTCTTTCTCAAAATTGCTTTAGCTATTCGGGGCAGTTTGTGGTGATATGCAAATGTTAGGATTGTTTGCTCTGGTTCTGTGAAAATGCTATTGGTATTTTATTTTATTTATTTTACTTTACTTTACTTTAGAGAGAGAGAGAGAATGTGAACAAGAGCAGGGGAGGGGCAGAGGGAGAGGGAGAGAGAGAATCTTAAACAGGCTCCACACCCAGCACAGAGCCTGATGCAAGGCTCAATCTCACCACTGTGAGATCATAACCTGAACCAAAATCAAGAGTCAGACACTTAACCAACTGAGCCACCCAGGTACCCCTACTGGTATTTTAAAAGGTATTGCGCTGAATGAGTAGAACTCTATGGGCATTACAGACATTTTAAAAATGTTAATTCTTCCAATCCATGAGCATGATATACCTTTCATTTGTTTGTGTCCTCATCAGTTTCATTCATCAACATCTTAATAGTTTCATGCTAAAGGTCTTTCACCTCCTTAGTTAAATTTGTTGCTAGGTATTCTATTCTTTTTGGTACAATTATAATTGAAATTGATTTCTTTGTTTATCTTTCTGATACTTCATTGTTAATGTATAGAAACATAACAGATTTCTATATACTAGCGTATCATGCAACTTTACTGAATTCATTTATTAGTTCTTGTAATTTTTTGGTGGAGTCTTTAGGGTTTGCTGTAGTACAATGTAATCTCAAATAATGACAGTTTCACTTCTTTCTTACCAATGTGGAAGGCTTTGAAAACATTAAAATTGCCACACATCAATGAAAACACCTATATTTTAAATGCCATATTATGTCCGGAACCACAAAATAATAAAACAACATGATACTACATACACTGCAAAATGAAAAAAGCATTCACTATCAAAAGTGAAGTTTTATCCAAAACCATTACTGCTGATAAACTCATTTTTGTTATAAATTTGAGTTGCAGAGTGTTGCAAGTTTAAATGCAGCAAAATGGGGCACCTTGCTCAGTCAGTGAAGTGTCCAACTCTTGATTCCAGATCAGGTCCTGATCTCACAGTTCGTGAAATCGAGCCCCACAGCAGGCTCTACAGTGATAGCTCAAAGCCTGCCTCGGATTTTCTCTCTCTCAAAATAAAAAATAAAAACTTTTTATAAAAATAAAAAAATAAATAATTACAGCATAAATAATTATGGTGACCAAAGTGTTCAAATCCTAATGAAAGCATGTTGTTAACACTGACAAAAGGGCTGCTCAATAAATGGAATATTTAATAATTTACAATAAAAGAATAAGTGTTTTCATCATTTGGAAAAGGAAAAAGACTGATATCTTTAAAGACTTTGTTAAAGATTTAAAATAGCATATACTTCAGAAATTTAAGGAAAAAAAAAAAATCCCTTCTTCAAAAGCCTAATTCAATAGATGATATCCTGAGTTCCCAAATGTTAGAAGACTTTTAACTTCAGTTAATCTAAACCCATTTTGTACCATGCATCAACTAATTTTATAATGATTCTCTTTTATGGTTATCAATCAAATCCTTCCCTCCATTCTTCATTACTGCAGCTAATCAAGAGTTACAAACACCAGCACATGCATAATTCTCACGTATATAAGAAAATATTAATTAAAAAGTCTTTATATATAACACATATGCTATAATATATACATATTTGTTCTATTCATTTAAAGAAATAAAACTTTATATATTCATTTTCTAACACTAAAATGCTGACATTATTTCTACTTATCAAGAAACATTAAGAAATATAAACTATGATCAAAATTTAAAAAGCAACGAGTTTCTTAGTTCTTCAATCACAAAAATCTCATTTTTTCTTCATGCAAAATGGTTGGGGTTCTCAATTTCTATACTATTCAATTACAGTTTTTTGTGAAACAATACTGTTTTATGAAATAACCATTTTTATCTGTCTCTAAAGCATATGACACTATACTATGATATAACATACAAAAGAAACTATTTTTTCCCAAAGACAAAGCATTTATCATCAGTTTATTTTCAGAAATGTTAAAGAGCTGGGAGGTATAAGGATATTCATTGGTGTGTTTTCTCTTATGTTCTAATATTCTATTTGCAATTATGTATTTTATAAAATCTTACCTCTGCTGGATGTTGAATTATGTACAAATGAGTAGAGATATGCAGAGGATGCAATGGTAGAAATGGACACAAACATACTTTCTGAGGCCGGCTAAAGGGCAGAAAGAAAAAGGAAACCTGTAAATGCTTAAAATACAATGAAAGAACAATAACCCAAAACCTGAACATAATCCCTCTTCTCTATGTAAAGACATTTGCCAAAGCTGCATTCTTTTAAAATGAAACACCAAGAGTGATTCAATCAATTAGATTTTAGATATGAGCATTCGGAAAATGATTCAAGTAAATTCTTTACCATCTATATAGATCAAAGTAACTGAAAAAAATCTGGCCTGAGTTATTAGTGAAGAATACTCATAAGCCATCAACATGGTCTTTCTAATTCCTGAGGCAACACTTCTAACTTGCATTCCAAATCAAGAAAAGCTCTGATGTCAAAGAGAAATTCGGCAACTCTTCTAAATCATCTGATATTGGAGGGAACAATATGATGATAAAATATAGGAATACACTTACCACCTAGAAAAGAGTTCTAATCAAACTTGCCATCAATCGACACAAAGAGCTTACCAATTGTAAGAAGAAACCCAAATGGGCCACCAGATTACATTTAGCTAGAATTATATCCACAGAATGTCTGCCTTATCCATTTATTTTCCCTTTTGTTATTGTTTGTCATTTTTGTTTTACTTACCTCTTAGTGATGTACTATTGTTTTAGTAACACTTATACTCATTACAAAATTCAAATGGGATAAAAGTATACATTTCCATCTCAGTCCTCCAACCTAGGGGATCAGTTTCTTGTGTGTCCTTCCAAATGTATTATAGGAATATACATGGATCTTTTACCATTAAAACTTATATTTGATGTGTGTGTTTACAATATAAAATTCATCAAACAGCCAGATACAGTATATCATGGGAGTACATTTTCATGACAGGTCACTCTTACAGGCAAATGTTACATGCCATTACAACAGTACACAGTGAATCTTAAAAGAAATTCCCAACAGCATACTATTACTACTACAAAACTGTTATCAATTCCTTCTTCAGTTTAACTTACGAAGAGTTATAGCCTGAAGAAATGATTACATTAATAAACCACAGAGTGTGAGTAAATTGGTTCAATTAAATCTACCACCTCATTCTGTAAGAAAGTGTCAAACCTATGCTCCTGCTGAAGAAATTATCTAGATGATATCTTAAATGGAGAAACATATTGCACAACATGACCACGCCTCCCCTCTCCACCAAGGAACCTAGAATGGATGGTCAATCCAAGGAAAACCATCATAATCCACTTTCCAGTGATAGCTGACATGATTCAGTATGATTACTCTGCCCTACAATGGATTCCCTGTTAAGAATGGGAGCAGAGGTATAGGGATGGAGAGCATCTTTCAGTGGTCATAAGAAGAGTAAACATGAGTAAATACAGAGAGGAGCAAAGATGGTTGACAGAACTAGGTATGTTGACAAAGAGGTCAAAGGCTGCAATTAGAAAAGACTCCTCACTGAGCAGAAAGATGAAGAGGATGAAATACATCCAAATTCTAAAATTTTAAGTTGCTGACTTTTTATATGAAACTCTACATAACTAAAATGCACAATCCGATGTCACTAAAATTCTTTTGTAAAATGTAATTTAATATCAAATGAAGGCAATTTAAAAATTCAGAATTTAAATGGATATCACCTTAAATACCTGTAAGCTGTTTGACACTTAGACTATGAAAGAATGCAAAAAAAAAAAAAATCAAATATCCTATATAGGAAACATTCACATATCAGTAAACTCAAAAAATTGAAAAATCCAGTCAAGTAAACAACCTGGGTAGAAGCTATAGATTTCTGTGGGCATTACAACACTAGGTAAAATAAACCCTGAAAATAACATCTTTAGCTTATCACACATATAGTGATTATAAAAGTCCTCAGTATGACACTTGAGACACTGCAGAGAACTGCTCTGCTTTTCATGTCTGACCAAAACCTTTGTTCATAAAAGAAAAAGAAAAAAAAAATCAGTTACTTGAAATGGTAGTTTCCTTCCTAGGAACACATCTTTGAACTTTAGGAGGATTTAGAATTAAGTAGTTTGGAGAGTTCCACTTCCAGGAGGACAGGAAAAGCTGCTTCACAGACCAAAAGTCCAGTGAAATAAGCAAAGCTGACCAAAACTATTTTAAAAAACAATCACTGAAAAATAGAAATACCCTATAACCCAGCATACTGGGTATTTATCCAAAGAATACAAAAACACTAATTCAAAGGAACACATATACTATGTTCATAGAAGAATTATTTACAGTAGCCAACATATGGACACAACCCGAGTGTGTCCATCGAATGATGGAAGGTGTGGGGTGTGTATATCCATACATATAGTGGAACATTATTCAGCCATAAAAAAGAATTAAATGTTGCCATTTGCAACAACATGGATGGAGCTAAAGAATAAAACGCTAAGCAAAGTAAGTCAGTCAGGAAAGACAAATGCCGTATGATTTCACTCATACGGGGAATTTAAGAAACAAACAGGCAAAGGGGAAAAAAAGGAGTAAGAGACAAAGTAAAAAACAGACTCTTAACTATAGAGAACTGACGGTTACCAGAGGGGAGATGGGTGGAGGGATGGTTGAAACAGATGATAGGGATTAAGGAGTGCACTTGTTGTGATGAGCATTGGGTCACGCATGGATGTTTGGATCACCTTATCGTACACCTGAAACTAATATAACACTATGCTAACTTAAGTGGAATAAAGTTAAGAACAAAAAACAATCACTGTAAGTCCCTTGCAATTTTCTAGGGCATATTCAAACAAAGAAACACTACTCCAGAAAATCTACTAAAACTTGGTATTGGGACCATTTGTGGCATCTGAGCCATAACCAATTTCCTACCCTGCCCCAGGTCAAGCTGACAAACTCCACTCCATGTAGGTGTGACCAAGAGAACCAACCTCCCTCTCAGTTTTTGGTTTTT